TTTGGAGAGGATGAGTGTTGGAGGAGGCAAGGGATGGTGAGCAGCATAGTAGATGCCCTTGGTGGTGGCTTGGCAAAGTCTGTGACAAAGCAAAGTCAGTCTTAATGAAAGAGTGTAGACAGCTTTGGACGGCGGTCAGGAATCCTGGAATCTAGGGCATGCTGGAGAAGAAAGGTTGGGGGCATAGTGTCCTGGAGAGCACAGGGTAGAGGCAGAGGAGAAAAACTAGCCCCTGAGACATTCTGAGCACATAAAGTCAGGAAGTTACGTTACCACCCAGAACACAGCCCTCCTTGATGGATGCCCACATGCACACAGACTTCAACTGACTTCCCGCTGGCTCACACCTGAGGTGTGACTTCGGGTGTCTTCGCACACGGGTGACTTCACACTTTTCAGGTCTCTATTCCAGTGACACTCCACCAGAGACCTTTCCTGACCACCTGACGACCCACCCCACAATGCCCTCTCTCTGCTCTAGTCTTGGCTTTTACTCCCTCTTACAAATATTAGGAGGCTTTTTCAGTTACTTCTTTTTTTAAAGATTTTATTTATTTATTATTATGTATATAGTCTATACAGTTTTCTGCCTCCATGCCAGCAGAGGGCACCAGATCTCATTCAAAGTGATGTGAGTCACCCTTTGGTTGCTGGCAATTGAACTGAGGACCTCTGGAAGAACAGTCAGTGCTCTTAACCGCTGAGCCATCTCTCCAGCCCCGATGCTTTCTTTCTTTCTTTTTTTTTTTTTTGTAAGACTTATTTATTTATTTATTTATTTATTTATTTATTTTTGGTTTTTCGAGACAGGGTTTCTCTGTGTAGCTTTGGAGTCTGTCCTAAGATTTATTTACTTATCATTTATAGTGTTCTACCTGCATGTCTGCCTGCAGCCCAGGAGAGGGCCACAGATCTCATTACAGATGGTTGTGAGTCGCCATGTGGCTGCTGGGAACTGAACTCACGACTTTTGGAAGTTCAGGTAGTGCTCTTAACCATTGAGCCATCTCTCCAGCCCCCGATATGATGCTTTTTAGGAGAGTTATTTTATTAGTTTTTGTTTTGAGATAGGGTGTCACTACGTAGCCCAGGCTATCTTGGAACTCACTATGTAGCCCGGGCTGTCCTTGAATTCAAAGAGATCCTCTTGCCTCTGCCTCCCAAGTTTTGGGCTTAAAGAACACAATACACCAAGCCTGATTTTTTTTTTTTTTTTTTTATTTGGGTGTTTTGCCTGTAAATGTCTAAGCACCAAGTGTGTGCAGTGCCCAAAGAGGCCAGAAGAGGGTGTTGGATCCTTTGGAACTGGAGTTACAGACAGCTGTGAGCCCCCATGTGGGTGTTGAAAAATGAGTCCCAATCCTCTGGAAGAACAGCAAACACTCTTAACTTGTGAGCCATCTCTTCAGCCCCTTGTTTGATTTTTGAGATACGGTCTCATATAATCCAGGTTAGCCTTGAGTCTGTATAATGAAGGATGAGCCTTGAAATCCTTGCTCTTTCGACCTACACCCCCACCTCCCACCCCAAGGACTGAGACCATAGATTGAGCTACCAACCTAACTTTTGCTTTGAGTTTTTAGGTTGGGTCTCCGTAGCCCAGGCTGTCTGTCCTTCCCTTAATCCTCTTGCCTTAGCCTCCCAAATACTGAGATTGCAGGAACCAGCCACCTACTATAACCTGGCATTATTTATTATTTGTTTCCTTCATTTGGTTAACTGTTCCCCTCTTACCACAACAAAACAGACTGTGTATGTCCTTTTCACAGTGTTGCTTCAGTGTCCAGAACGGTGGTAGATACACAGTATATAATAGTTGAATGAACATGCTCAGGTGACCAAAGTTGGCCCTGAACATAAACCAGGGATCAGAATTGAATTTGTAGCTGGGCGTTGATGGCGCAAGCCTTTAATCCCAGCACTCAGGAGGCAGAGGCAGGGGGGTTTCTTGGTGTTCCTG